CGGATGGGTGTGTTTCCCTGCAGCCCGGCCGGCACCCCCCCCCCATCCCTCGGCCACCACCCACCTGGTGTCTCAGGCCCCTCACCTGAGCCCAGAGCCTGTGATGTCAAACTCGATCAGCCGTACGTCCTGGAAGTGAGAGGGGCTGGTGACCCTCTGGTTGGTGACCATGGGTGCCAGGAAGGGCTGCTGCTCTGAAGGGGGACCTGGGGGATCTGCACCGGCCACATGCTGCTCCTCAGAGCACATCTTGGGGGCCTCCGGAAGGAAGTGGAGGGTGAACTTGGAGGGCAAACTGTAGGGAGGACACACACCCGTCAGGCTGTCAGCAGGGCCTCACAAGTGGCCCCGCGGCCAGGCCGCTCTAACTGCACCTGCGGGAGCCCCACCGAGGCCCACACTCACGGGACTCCGGGGGGGATCACGCCAAGGTCAGGGGGCACCGGGTAGAGCCCCAGCACCTTCTCCCACAGATCGTGCAGCCAGGGGTCAATAGCAGCGTCGGGCCTGGAGAGAGAGCATGTGCGCGCTGTTCTGAGGGGCCCCTGCCCCTGGCCGGGCCTGCAGGAGAGCTGCCCCCACCCCACTCACCCCAGCTCATGCTGGTCATCTCCCAGGCACGCAGGCAGGAGGGCGCTGCCCCCAAGCTGCAGCAGCCGTCGGTGCAGCTTCTTGGCCACGAAATTGAACCTACAGAGAGAGAGCCAGGCTTGCTTGGGCAGGCCCTGGGCGGAGGGCAGAGGGCAAGCAGCCCCGAAGAAGCAGAAGACCCCGGGCCTCGAATGACACCTCTCCCAGAGAGCGCTGTTGGCAAGATGCCTGTGTTTGTGCTGCCGTGAACCAACATCTATGTTGTGCACAGAACAAAACCCCGGGCACAGGAGTGTCGCGCTGCCCTGTTCACCTCAGCGAGCACAGTCCTGCCCTTGTTGTGTCTGGCTTTGGAAGCGTTGGTACGACCAACGACCCCCCACCCCCACCCCGCCCGCCCTGTGCTGGACTGTTTCAGTGACCTAATGACATGCGAACCCTCACACACAAATTCCTCGGTGCTTCTTTAAGAAAACACGCAAAGCAACATCATTCTTGGCTTAGGATACAGATAGGTCCTGAAAACTGGCAAGAACAAGGCCGAGGCGGTCATGCCACCACACCCAGGGAAGCAGTGGCCTTGGAGGTGGCTCCTGGGGCTGGGGGGTCTTCCGGGCCCCTTGCCTCATCCCACTGTGCCGTCTTTGTGAGCCCAAATATCTCATGGAAAAGTGGGAAGAGCCAGGTAGGCCTCTGCTGCCCTAAGTCACGTGTCAGCCTATGGTGCTGCCTGAGGCCCCTGATGTCCAGTTCCAGACGTCACTTCCTGTCCTACGAGACACCTTGGGCCCACCCCGGAGTTTTGGTGCCCACTTTCCTGTCCTGCCAGCCTCCTGTCTGTGCTCTGCTCACCCTTCAAGCCCAGATGCTCCCCGATGGTCCCCACAGCCTGGCCATGGCCCAAAGTCTAGAAGGAGCCCTGGGGGCTGAGTCACCTGTCCGTCCGCCAGGACTTTGTGCTCAACCCCAAGGGCAGTCCCTGCAGGCCAGCAGCCTTCCTGCCCCTACTCACTTGGCGTAAGAGGAATCCCCGAGGCCCAGAACAGCAAAGTCCATCTGACAGAGGGAAGTCGGTGGCAGATTCTTCCGGAATATGAACCTCCAGAAGTTCTACAGCCAGAAGAAGCCAAGTTAGAGGCCCTGCTTTGGGCCACCAGGGCCCTAGGGTGGAGTAGGGAGGAGCCACAACCTAGACCCTCCCTGTTCCTTCAGATCTTTGTTACTGAAACCAGACCATTTTTTATTCTATCACAATGGCAAAAGATTTGGAAAAAGGCAGAAACTCGTAAACCATAGAGCTGCCCCAGAGCCACCACCAGAGTGTAAAGCCCCACCCCTTCCCGGGCAGGGGGCCCTGTGAGGGCTACTGGCACCCGCCCCACTGCCTCCCCAGGGCAGGAGTGGCACCTGCTCCTGCTCAGGCTGCCCCTGGGACCACTTCCTCCCTTCACACCGAGCCCCATGTCCCAAAGACCCCTCTGTTCCCAGCTCTGAACCTCGGGGCACCACAGGACCTCTCTGTGGTCCTCGTCTCATCCCATCAACCAAGTTTCTCTTTGGGCACCTTCTTCTAGCCCTGGGCCCCACCAGGCTGCTTTGTGCTCACTGCCACCCTCACGGCCAAGGACCCAGACCTGTGTCCTTCCCCAGGACACCCTTACCTCCATGCATCTGGCCAACCCAGGGGCCTTACAGCCAGACCCCCAAGGTCACAGCCCAGGTGCCTCTTCTTTCCTCTGGGGACCCTCATTGGAGCCTGTCTGGCCCACACTCTGCCCCAGCCTCCCCACAGGCCTCCAGAAGCACTTCTCAAATACAGCTCCCCATCACCTTCAGCCCGTGGTGACCTGAGCCCTGGACACCAACTTTCACATGTGGTCCAGGCTTTAGCTGCATTCCACGTCCCTTGTACTTCATAACTGGCATGGAGGGGCCCTGTTGGGGCACAGCTCTGCTCACTGGTCCTGGACCACCCTGGACCACACCCCAAGGGCTGAGCTGCGTCAGCCAGTACTGGGGACTACACTCTCTGCCTCTGGAGACCTCTCCTGCATGCTCCTCCTCAAAGGCCTGTTTCCCGAAGCTTGCCAAAAATATCCTTCCCAGTGAAGGTACACTTCTCACAACTCCACACCTGCAAATGCTTGGGCCCTCCCTTCACAGTGACTGGCAGGTTGGCAGGGCGCACTTCTGGTGGAAATGGTTTTTCCAAAGAGCCCGAGTCCTTGCTCCAAGCTGGTTCAGCTGGGCCACCGCTGCTGAGAAACCGGCATCATGTGTCCCCCTCTGTCCCCCACCGGCTACCTGGGCACTCTCGATCCCCGAGAGCCGTAACCCACCATGATGCGCCTTGGCGGGAGCCATTCCACTCAAGATGGGCCCTTCCCAAGTACCCGGTGGACCCTTTTCCAGTTCTGGGATGTTTTCTTAGTTGCTCTCTTTGGCCAGTTTCTCCCCACTGTTTCTCATTCCGAGGTTACTAACACGATCTTAGAATTTTGCTATTTCCTTTCTTGGTTCCTCGTTCATTTTTGGTTACACTTTCCAGGAGAATTTCTCAACTCTGCTCTCTGATCTTTTCAAGTTTTCCTGCTATCGTCTTAAAGAGCATTCCCAGCGCTTCCAGCTTTTGCCCTGTTTTGTGTGTCCCTTCCTGTCCTGTGGGTGCCGAGTTCTGGACGGCCCGCTCCGCCTCTACTCCTCCAGAGTACCTGAGGGTATGGTGGTTCTTCGTGGTCTATTTGTACTTAAGACGCTGACAGAAAACTGTGAGTTTGGGCCTGTCACCCAAGGTGCGTTTCGTGGCCGGGATCCTGCGGGACTTGCACTGTGGTTAGTTTCCCCACAGAGGGCTCCTCTGGTCCACTAGCCGGGAGCACGTGCCTGACCACAGTGTTCTGAGGACTGAGGCAAGGCAGCCAGTGTCTTCCTGTTTAGTACAGAGCTGGTCACTAAGCCTGGTCTTCAGCAGGTGCCGCGCCCCCTCCTCCGTGTTCCTGGGACCTCAGTCTGCAGCCTCTCCAAGGAGCCTGCAGGTCGCACTGTGGCCGGGGAGGGCCCCTCCTGACCACCTCCGTGGAGGTGTCCGTGCCTGCAGTCTTCGTTGTGCACCCTCATCCAGGGTGACCATCACCACCTTCATGCTGTTGGCTTCTGATGTCCAGTCTGCACCCCAGCCCAGCTGACCTCGTAGAGGTCTTTGTTTCCCCTCCCCTCCCATGTCCTGTGTCACAGGCATCCACAATTCACCTCCTGCCTTTGATCCCCTCACGCTTGCCTTCTCTCCTGTCCCTCTTCTTGTCTCAGACCTCTCCTGACTGTGCTGGGGTCTTGGCCCCATGTCTCCCATCGTCCCCTGCTCTGACCCTGCTCTTCGGTCATGAGCCTCTTTCTCCCCCACCGCCAGCCTTTAACAGGTCTCTCTCACCTTAACACCTTCTTTCCAACCCCTTAGCCCCACTCACAGCCAGAATCTTTCTCGTGATTGTTTAATGTACAGACGTCCTTAAGATTCTCTCCACTTACCTGCTGCTCCCCTGTGACCTCGCTTCTCTCCCAGTAAGTCGCTGATACTGCTTTCCCCAAAGTCACCAGCAGTCCCTTTGCTGATAAACCCTACCAGTTCTGCTCAGGTTTTATCTTAGTTCACTTCTGTGCAGCTTTGAGTGCTGGAGACTTTTCTCTCAGAACAATCACCTTCCTGCCTTGACCTTGGATTTGGGGCACTCCCTCTTTTTGCTGTTGGGAGCCACTTTCCTGCCCCTCACAGGCTTTTCTCCACCTCCCATGCCCTCCGTGTTCAGGGCCACCTGTCCCAGGGGAAAGGGAGGGGCTTTCTCATGCCTCGCCCAGGGTCCTTGCTAGAGCTCCACACCTACCTTGTATCTCCCCCTGGACGACTTCCAGCCCTTGGCCCTCCTGGTCTCCATCTCTGTGCATGGAACTACCATCCACTCTGGTCCCTGAGCCCGAACCCCTGTCTCGACTTCATCTTTGCTCCCAGCTTTTAGGCCTGTGATCCCACGTCCTCTCAATTCTACTTTAACATCTCTGGAAGGTGTCTTGTTTTTCTCTGCTGTCTGCCCCCCTCCTGCCTTCACTGTGCATCCTCTTGAGTTGTTCTTGCTCTCCTACAGCCTGTCCTCCCTGTCGACACGTAGCAGTTTTGCTAGAACACAAATATGACTGTCACCCAGTGGACTGCATGGCCCTCCACCTCAAGCCCATCCACCTTGCTGGGGCGGTCCAGCTTCTTGGGATCAGGTCTGGCTTCCTGCCTCTCGTCTCCCCTCCCCCCCTTGATGCATTCCTTGGCTCTGTCATCCCCAACTGCTTTCTGCTCTTCCCTGAGCTGGTCTTTCTCCTCTGCACAGGCTGCTCCCAGTTTTCTGGTGCCTGGCTAGCCCCCACTTATCCTCAGGACTTAGCCTACACTCCTTTCTTCCAGGAAGCTCTCCCTGAGCCTCCAGGTTGGGCTAGATAGTGTTTATTAATGTCCTCATGACGTCTGGCACTTTCTCTGGCAGCATGTATCTCCTCGTATTGTAACTGCCTGTTAAACTTGTTGCTTTTGCTATATTGTGAGCTCCCTGAGGAAAGAAATAGGTTCCCGGCTGGATTCCCAGCACTAGATCATGTTTGGAATAGAATGTGTGTTCAAAAGATGGTCAAAGAATTGAAGAATGTTCCCAGAGGAAGGTCCAACAATTTTGAAACACTCACAAGACCCAGACCAGATTCATATATAGCCCTGGAGAAAATATTAAAGGTTAAAATGGAGAACAAGGCTATTTAGTGGCCTGTGAACAGTTTATTAGGGAGGACAGCCAGAGCCCCCAGTTCCCTCCCAAATCCACGGCTAACGTGCAACAGATATAGGAGGGCAACTGTTCATTGTGCTTCTTGGACTCCCCAGGCAATGAAAACAGTGAGGGTCCAGGGCAGTGATCTGAGCTTCTGAGCAAAGAAAGCCTTCAGGTCAGCCTTACCTTCATGTTGTCAGGGGGGTCTCCTTGGCCTGTAGTTGCACAAACAAATATCACCAGGGGCTCACTAATCAGATTCACCTCAACAAAAAGACACATGTGTTAAGACCTCGGGCTGTAGCACGTAGGTATGCTCTCCGCAGCCTGGCCCCTCTCCTTCACTCGGGGGGTATGGCAAACGGAGTCACGAAGCACCCGTGAGCGGCCGGCCTGCCTTTGCCCTTTCAGGCTCCATCCTCCCACCTTGCCCGTTTCTCCATGTGCTAAGCCCTGCCACTCTCCCCAAGTTTTCCTGTCCCCTAAACCCGCCATAATGGAACGGTCCGCTCTCACACAACACACGGTGCCCTGCGGTCGAGGGCTCTGGGGGCTGGCGCCCCCGGCCTGCTCGGTCTCACCGCCCAAGCCCTAGGGCTCCCTCACCACCGAGTAGGAGTCCAGGGCCTGCACCCGGCAGTCAAGCCGCCGGCGCCGAGCCTCGCGACCCAGCCTCTCCGACACATCCTGGGCCGTGCCTGTCTGGCTGCCGAAGAGCACCAGAAGCCCCGGGCTCGGCATCCGGGCGCGCCGGGAAACCCCGGCACCCAAGCACCGCACCAGCTAAGAGATCCCGCAAGCCTAGGTGGCCCGGACCAGCTTGGACTTCCGACTTCCGGTGGTGGCCGGAAGTGACGCCCTTAGACCGCGCCCGGCAGGGCATGGCGACCGAGGGGGGCGGGTATCCGTTAGCGGCCGGTGCTGGGTCCCGGGCCGCGGCCAAGATATTGGCGACACGCCAGGACCGAGGGCCGGGGCAGGCGGAGCCGTTCGCTGCCTCGTGCTCGCCGCAGCGGCGCCGGCGGCGGGCGCCGGCGAGGCCCACGGGGAGAGGAGGCGCAGCCCTGCCGGTGGGACGCTCGGCCGGGCCCCGGCCCGCGCTCAACCGGCGCGATGCTCTTCTCGCTCCGGGAGCTGGTGCAGTGGCTGGGCTTCGCCACCTTCGAGATCTTCGTGCACCTGCTGGCCCTGTTGGTGTTCTCCGTGCTGCTGGCACTGCGTGTGGACGGCCTGGCCCCCGGCCTCTCCTGGTGGAACGTGTTCGTGCCCTTTTTCGCCGCTGATGGGCTCAGCACCTACTTCACCACCATCGTGTCCGTGCGCCTCTTCCAGGACGGAGAGAAGAGGTTGGCAGTGCTCCGCCTCTTCTGGGTCCTCACGGTTCTTAGCCTCAAGTTTGTCTTCGAGATGTTGTTGTGCCAGAAGCTAGTGGAGCAGACTCGGGAGCTCTGGTTCGGCTTGATCACGTCTCCGGTCTTCATTCTCCTGCAGCTGCTCATGATCCGCGCCTGTCGGGTCAACTAGCCTCAGGCGGGAGTGAACTCTGGACGGCTAGCATGCTGGACCCCAAGCTGAGTTCCTACTTCCACCGTACCAAAGGAGAAGTCTGGGTCTGAAAGGAAAGCCAGCTCCTGCCCTGGCGAGTGCCCAATTTTCTCTCTACCAGTCCATGTCTGAAATTGTTCCCTCAGCAGGGCTAAAAAGAGCAGCCTTGATCCTTAACATGTATTTCCTGTTATTTCATGCTTTGAATAGCTAACCCTGAATTGAGATCCTGAGAGGGACCCCAGGCCATTTCTCTGACAGTAAAATGTCCTGATGGGCTCTGCGTATGTTTATGGATCCTGGGAAAGTACTCCCTGTGCAAGGGCTGCAGAGCTGGTCTTATGGATTTCCTCTGCCCAGAAACACTAACCTAAGAGCTCACTGCCCCCTCCATCTGGACAGGACTTAGATGCTTGAGCTCAAAGTGTAAACCAGCTTGTGTCTCCTCCCCTGAGCCACTGGGGAGGATGGCCTCTTCTTCATTCCAGCTCAGGCAGACAGGAGTATGTTGAGTAAGCACGACTGGGACCCTATTTGGAGATCTGTCGCCTGAGAGAACTTTGCTTATGAAGCGCTGCTTGGCTTCCTATCCCAGCGGATTGCATCGTCCACAACTTTTCCACCACCACCTTGTGGCCAGCACTGTTAGCACACCTGAGACAGATTTAGGCCTCCCTCAAGGGACCAGAGAGAGGAACAGCTTTGATGCTCATAGGCATCGAGACTTGCAAATGGTCTTGGCCCACATTTGTTGGCCTGAGGTCTTCAGTTTAAGGTGCCAAATGAGAACGTTTGCTGAGATAAAAAATAAAATAAGAGAATGTTTTGCTGAGATGCGCAATGGTTGCCTGACCTCTTGAGGGTGAAACAATATGAATGCTGAGAAGGTCCCTGCTGTGCGATGTAGCTGGTTACAGAGCTGACTGTAGGGAGACAGGAATGCACTAGAGTTTCTTTAGCCAATGTGTGTGTGTGGGGGGGGGG